TCAGACTCGAACTATTTGATCTTTTTCTTGATAAATTATTTAACATATTATAAATTAAAATATTATAGATGAGATAACAAAATAGATTATATATATATTTTTAATATTTTCATTGTGGATTTACATTTTATGGACTTGTAAACATTGACTATTATTTATTATCATTACACCTAAATAATTCATTGGAAGTGACATTCATTTGGTTTAACTAACTCGAGGGACGACGTGTGATTAAAAATGATTTCTAGGGTGAAACTTGTGGACTACGTATCAATGAGGGAATAATAATTTATAATTACATACTATATTAACTTAAATTTTATGGTCAATTACATAAATGATCCCTCAATTATAGAGAATTACTTTTTAAGTCTCTCGACTATTAAAAGTTATAAAATGATCATCTGATTACATAGTGTTGCTTTGTTGAGTCCATTGACTACTAAAAGTTACAAAATGGTCATGCGACTATTCATTATGTACCAAACTCGTCATTTTCTGTTAAAAAATTGACAGTATTCCGAGCTAAACGTTAATATGCTGACGATGATTTAATAAAATATGATTACAATATCTCAAACGACTATTATATCTCAGTCATTATGTTAACGTCTAAATTAGAGAACCATAAATTTTTTAACGAAAAAGAATGAGTTTGGAACTTAATGAATAGTCGGATGACAATTTTTGTAACTTCTAATAGTCGAGAAACTTAATAAAACAATATTATATAGTCAGATGATCATTTTATAATTTTTAATAGTCAAGAGACTTAATAAATCAATATTTTATAATGGAGGGACCATTTGTGCACACATATATGGTTGGTTCAAGCATTAAGCAGCTTGATATCGCTTAAGCAAGTCTCGAGTTCAAGTCATTGTCTATGCAGAAAATCCTCACTGGGAGACTCACCAAAAAAAAGCCAAGTGTGCTATCTGGATCGATCCGGATTTATTAAGGCGAAACCAACCAATAAAATTTGAGTGATTTAGGATTTTAACTTAGCAACATGACACGTTCACAACGCAGTCCATCTGTCCAAAAACCCTAAACTAAACTGATTCTTGTTTAGATTTTTAATTCACTTATCTAGATTTTAGTAGAAAGATTCAAAATATTATTATTACCTTTATGAATAATTAAATATCTCACTTTGCCCCTTTTTATTTAATTTCATAAATCCATGAGCCATTGAAACGGGACGGAGTTCTAACATGTCACGGCGGAGTCAACGCTAAAAATCCACGTGTTTAAGCTGAAGTATTATTTACTTCCGAAGTAAATAATAGTATTATTATTTTAGGGTAAAATACACTAAGCATCACTGAATTTTATCTTGTCTCTTATTTCACTCATTGTACTTTAAATTCGTTTAATTTTCTCACTAGATTTAATACAATTAGCATTTTTTGTCACTATCCGTTTTCTTACTAAACGACATTATAAATGAGCTGTTATATAGATGCAAAATGATATTGTATTGGTGCAAATTTTTTTTCTGAAATAACGTCGTTAAATATTTAACGGTTGAGTGATAAAAAAGTTAATTGTATTAATTTCAATGAGTGAAATAGGAGATATAATAAAGTTAAGTAATGATTGGTGCAATTTACCCATTATTTTATCAAGAAGAAATCATTATAAACAACATTGTGGAGGAAGCAAGAGATGATAAAATCTTAAACTGCAAAAATTTATGTGCACCCCCCCCCCTCTTCTTTCTCTAACAATAAGAAATATCTATCTCCAAAGAGTTTATGGTATACGCATTGCCTTGGCTTCTTCGTTTTTACTCGTATTTTCTGGGTTTTCTCACCTCTCTTGTCTTTTTTTTCCCTTTTTTTTTTTTTGCAGAGGAACCAAAACGATTTTGCAAGTTAAACGGTCGGGGTGAAGACAAGACGAGAAAAACAGATTACCCTGTTCTTTTCCCCCTGTCTGTGTTCATCTCGATGAACTTTAGAGATGGAGAAGAAGGTTGATTCATGTTCTCCCACTGGTGTTCTCGAGGATTTCTTCAAGAGTGAAGAATTCGAAAGGAGCCGTTCTTGTAAAGAACCTAATATAGACTCAGAAAGCGAGCGAAACTCGAAGCAGGTTTCTCGATGGCGAGGGTTGGCGCAATTATTTAGGACTAAATCGAAGAAATCATTACCCAATCTGCAGTCTTTCGGGTCGTTTAGGCTGTCGTTGAGGAGTAGTAGCATGCGGGAAAACGTCGCCGTCGCACCGGATTTTCTCGCCAACGGCAACTCATTTAACGATAGGTCTTCGAGGAAAGTTTTCAGTCTTTCCGAGCTTAAGACCGCCACCAGAAACTTCAGCACCGGTCGGTAATTTAATGCTCTGTTCTGCTTGAAATGCGACCAAATATGTTGGTTTTTATGATTTGTTTTTTCGTGCAGAGAATCTTGTCGGAAAGGGTGGTTACGCTGAAGTTTACCAGGGGAGCTTACCAAATGGGCAGCTTGTTGCGATTAAAAGGCTAACAAAAGGCACGGCCGATGAGATTATAGGGGATTTCTTGTCCGAGCTTGGGATTGTGGCTCATGTTAACCATCCCAATACTGCTAAACTAATCGGCTATGGAATTGAAGGTGGTATGCATCTTGTCCTTGACTTGTCTCCCAATGGGAGCTTAGCCTCTCTTCTTTACGGTGAGTTCATGATATCGAAAATTGCTGATTATGAACACCGAACGGATCGATCCGAATATGAATGTCGTTTATGTATCGATTTCGTACAGGTTCCAAGGAAAAACTGACATGGGATATTAGGTTTAAGATTGCACTAGGGACAGCTGAAGGTTTAAGGTATCTTCATGAAGGTTGTAAGAGGAGAATCATCCATAGAGACATCAAGGCTGCAAATATTTTGCTTACAAAGGACTTTGATCCTCAGGTACCCTTCAAATAAAACCCTGAAATGCGAACATTTTGCTACGGTTTTTATATTATTAGGACCGAATTCGGTGACAGATTTGTGATTTCGGGCTCGCGAAATGGCTACCGGAACAATGGACTCACCACACCGTTTCCAAGTTCGAAGGCACATTCGGGTTCTAAATTTGTATACCTAAAACTATACTTCTTTGCAGTCATCAGTTGGGGGATCTACAATTAAACTGATTCCCTTTTTTGCTTTCTTTTTGCAGCTACCTGGCTCCTGAGTACTTGATGCACGGCATAGTCGACGAGAAAACCGATGTTTTCGCCTTTGGAGTATTGCTGCTGGAACTCGTCACCGGTCGCAGAGCTTTGGATTACTCTCGGCAGAGCCTTGTATTATGGGTACGCCACTGGGAACACATCATCATCCGACTCAAGGACTCTTTATGCATCCATATGTAGTTTATGCTTTTTATCGGCAGGCAAAGCCTTTGCTGAAGAAGAACGACATCAGAGAGCTGATCGATCCTGCTCTCGGAGAAGATTACAATGTCCGACAAGCAAACATCGTCCTCTTGGCAGCATCGATGTGCATACATCAGTCTTCGATACGGCGACCGCAAATGAGTCAGGCATGATATAGTGTCCCGACCCGATTCGACTCGTTGGACCATAACTTCAATAAAAAAAAAAGTTAACAAATTGATTCTTAATACGTAATGCAGGTTATACAGCTCCTTAATGGCAACCCCAACAGCTTAAAGAGCAAGAGAAAACGTCGGGTCCCGTTCTTCACAAAAGCTTTCCATGAAGAGATTTAGAAACAAACAAGCCGCATGAATAAGATGAAGTTCAAGGGGGACAAAAGTGAAGAATGACAGTGTCTTTGGGACATAGTAGACATGTACAGAAGGAAAGCGGAACAAAAGTAGAGGATATCCCATGGTTTAGTAAATTTTGGTCGGATAGATACATGAAAGAGCCAATGTCTTTTTCTTTTATAATTTATTTTTTGGAGCAAGTTATGATAAAGGATCCCGAATCAATTTGAGTCGGTTTAGCTTCTGTTTGAGATCATTGGCCGGGCTTAAATTTTACTAATTTGTGTAATATATATAGTCAATGAGGCTGCATATTAAATTATCACGTGTTTGTTTATTATGGATCCCCTGGCGGCGCGTAACTCCTCTGACCAACGTGATCCTACTTACCTTTCCTCGTCATCCTTGTCTTCGTTAAATAAAATAGTGATATCACATAATTTATCCTTAAGAATTCAATTATTTTAATAATTAAAAGGGTAATTGTTATCTTTAAAAGTCTAAGATTTAAGTATTAATCTTTACAAACATAGATGTTTGAACGTATTTATCATCTAATGATTTAAAACTTTTAGAATATATACTGTCTTGTAATTATTTTATTTTGTGATTAATATGGATAAGTATAAATAAGTATTTATTTAAAATTGAACTTTTAATCTTTTGACATATACTTTTAGTATTTATGATATTTGAACCCGAATCTTTAAAAAATAATAACAATTATTTTATCATAAAGTTAAAAAAATTGCATTTTAGAAATCACTCATATCCAACCCAACAGAGCCTAAAACTAGATGAGAGCAGACATTTATCCAACAAGACCAATGTAAAGACAGAGTTTACTGAAGCCAGCAGCAAATAAAAACAGCCCGACTACTGACATCACGGCGACAGACAACAGTCACTGTGTTCGTTGTGATCCAAAAGGCAAAAACCACACCGCCAAGTCCACATCAGCGAAACTAAAATTTAACATCTAATTTCACATCTCAGGCATAAGATTATGATTATGTAGAAGTGAAAAGAAATTGATTGGATAAATAGAGTTTATAGAGAGGAAAGAAGCTTTGTTTTCGTTGGAGTCAAATCACAAGCAAGCCGTCGGCTGAAGTAGTCTTGGTTCCGTTGAGAGGATTTTATATCGGATGTTATATCCGATCGTCGGCGACCGGAGATGCTACTTACCGTTGGTGAATGTGGAGGTAGGCCGTTGTGATGCTGGTGTTGGTGGTGAAGGTGGCGGAGGAGGAGAAAAACCGGTGGCGCTGGTGCTTATAGTTGGAGGATGAGAAAAGGGAGAGGAAGGAACAATGACTTGCTTCCGAATTCGTTAAGGATTATATCTACTTGTTTGAAGACTGTTTTCACGAATGCTTGTAACTTCGCTTCCACGGTTCGCTCCGCCGGTGCTTCCGTCGCTGCATCCATTTCCACTTCTTCTGAAGATCATAAAGATCAGGTTTCACTTTCCATTTCAGAATCCATCGTTTACATTTGTTTCTCTGATTGCTTTCTTTCATCTTTTGAATTTTTAGTTTGCCTGCTACTTGAAAACTTTTAGTTTACTCAGTAGAGTTGTCCAGTATATGTAATGAGTTGATGGTGATTTAAAGCTTAATTGCATTCACCACTCGCTATCATTACTCGTCGATAACCATTTAGCTCAGTGTTGTCTGGGGTGCAAGGTGCCCTTTAGGTGGTGTTTTGATGGGGGAACGTGGGAATGGAATCCACTTCCCCGGGAATGGAATCCACATTTCCCGTTTGGTTAGTCCGGGAATTCCATTCCCGGGAATGTAAATTTTGGTTCAGTTTCATAATTCTCTTGGATTTTTTGAGGTGTTTAAAATGCTTCTGTTATTTTACATGAACAGGTGACATGGGCTGGCTTTGAAAGGTTGGAACTTGGTCCTTCTCGCATCAAGCATGTCCTCTTACTTGGTTACCAGAATGGATTTCAAGTCTTTGATGTGGAGGATGCCTCTAATTACAGTGAACTAGTTTCAAAGAGCGATGGTCCAGTTTCATTCTTACAGATGCAGCCTTGTCCTAAGTTCAGATGGACAAGAAGGATTCAGGGCTTCTCATCCTATGCTATTGGTCGTTTCTGGCTATGACACCAATAGTTCAAGCTTGTGTCAGAACGCTGGCCAAGATTGCCGTATGGAGTCACAGTTAGGGAACTCTGTCAACTCGCCTACAGAAGTTCGATTTTACTCTCTTCGGTCTCACTGTTATGTGCATGTGCTGAGATTTATATCATCCGTTTGCATGATTAGATGCAGTTCCCGGATTGTAGCTGTAGGTCTTGCAACACAGTTAAGTGCTAGCTGATATAAACAGTACATTAGTTTGAGAAAATATGAATTCATTTTGCATGTTGGGGGTTTCAAGGTGCAGATTAAAGTATTCAGTGTTGTTGGTTCTTTATTTTATGATAAAGACTTGTCAGTAGCGTAGGTTTTTCTTCTAACCTATCTCTTTTCTTTCCAAATTTTGTTGTTGTTGCTTGCCAGGGATCTCAGTATGTAAGTTCTCTTAGTTTCTTGTATTGCACTATTGCTCTAACTAGTGCTGCAAGTAATCTGTCAGTCCAAAAGCCGTAGGTTGATCAACTCTCCTGATATACACCAATCAAAGGCAATGCATTTTTACAAAGATTGTGCACTCCCCTTTTTCTAGTTTATTTCTTTGCGCTGCAAATATCATAACCAACTCTTCTTGCATGGTTGCAGATATATTGTTTTGATGTCCTCGCTCTTGAGAATAAATTCAGTGTCCTCACCTATCCTGTTCCCCAGTTGGCAGGACCAGGGGCTGTTGGGGTTAATGTCGGTTTTGGTCCAATGGCTGTGGGACCAAGGTGGTTAGCATATGCTTCCAATAGTCCACTGTTGTCTAACACTGGCCGGTTAAGCCCACAAAACCTTACCCCTTCTCCTGGTGTGAGTCCATCAACATCCCCAGGTGGCAATAGTTTGGTTGCTCGCTATGCAATGGAATCTAGTAAGCATTTGGCAACAGGCATAATCAATGTGGGAGATATGGGACACGAGACTTTATCCAACTGTTGTCAAGAGCTACTTCCTGTTTGTTTACTAATAGGTTGTCATTGGAATCTCCTAAGAACCTATCTTGGTTGTTCCATGTAGGTGTTTTTCTGTTGGGAAATATTCTCTGGCCTCGTCTCCTGATATCAAGGTGAATATAAAGCCTCACAAGAGATTATTATTTGTCATTCAAAGCCGTCGTCGCTTAGCTCGACTGAAAGTTCCGGAGGTAAAGCCTATGTGATTTCTCAAAAGCAATATCTGTTTTGCTACCAGAATGCCCTTGCCTATAAAATGACATCATTTGATGATCGCAATTCTCGTCAGGTTCATCAAGGAGACTGGATAATCTACTTGATATTGATCAGATTAACTGTGACAAGCCTTATCCACCCACTTACCGGGGTCTGAACGGCTTCATTAGCCGTTGGTACTGACTGAATCAGGAGTCTTTGACTGTCGAATCTTCCACTTCAGAGAGTAAGTTGCCTCCGCTAAGAAGAAAGGCCGATGGAATGTCGTCTTCAGTGCCTCGATACCGCATGTAGACCATTATGATGTACCTGTAAACAATCCGGTGGATGCGTCGGCGTTTTCTGCAAAACAGATTCCGGTTGATTTCAAAAGCCAAGTGTCTTGTTCAAATTCATTGGTTTTATCCGTGCATTTGAAGAAAACTGTCGAGTGATGTTATCGCATCTCTTATATTAAATTCATTGGGCTCTTCTCTTTCTCCTCTTCTTTTATTATCATTTATTTATTTACACCTACTTGTCCTTATTTTTGTATAATTTAAAAAAGAAATCATGCAAACGACACATTATAAGTGAGATGTGATAGTCTTTTGAAATTCTGGGATCCGATTTTATCATATCACGATCAGTAAGTTAACATTCAACTCGGAATATAGTCAATTTTTTAACGGAAAATGACGACTTTATAACATAATGAATAGTCATGTGACCATTTTGTAACTTTTGATAGTCGAGGGACTCAACAAAGCAACACTATATAACTAAAGGATCATTTTATGACTTTTAATAGTCGAGAGACTTAATAAAGTAGTTCTCTATCATCTTCTTTACCCTTATTATTAATTCACAATAATTTTAGTACCACAGGGTATAATTAAATAATACTAATACAATCATGTGCAATGAGCACCTACCAAAAGAAAAAAAAATTAATAGTTTATTCAAATATTCCAAATAAAAATTGTATTTTTCTCGTCTTCTCATTGGAAACTAGTGGTAATGTCACAAGAAAGGCACATCAGCGACTTCCAAATAAAAATTAGTTTTTTTTATCTGTCGTTCAAAATTTAATTTTATTTAATATTTAAACTATTAGTTTTATTTCGTTCTTGTTAGGAGTGTTCAAATAATTGAACTAATTCGATTAACCAACCGAATCGAATTAATTCGGTTAATTCGGTTCGGTTACCGAATTAATTCGGTCGGTTAACGATTAAGAAAATTTTTAGAATTCGGTTAACGGTTAATTAACCGAATTAACCTATATTAAAATTTAAATATTAAATATATTATATATAATAACATATGGGCTTAGCCCAAACCATTTAAAACCCAATTAATAATTTAAGATCCAATAACTTTTAAACATAAATCAATATTAATTAATTAAAAAAATTATATAAAATTTTTATTTTATAATTATATATTATTTAAATTAATTGTGAACTGTTTTTTTTATTTAAAAAATATTAAATATATTATATATAACATATGGGCTAAGCCCAAACCATTTAAAACCCAATTAATAATTTAAGATTCAATAACTTTTAAACCTAAATCAATATTAATTAATTAAAAAAATTATCTGAAAATTTTATTTTATAATTATATATTATTTAAATTAATTATAATTTTTTTGAATTAAAAAACATTTAATTTTTATATAAATTAGAAAATTTTAAAAAAAAATTGCTTAATTCGAAAATTAACCGAAATTTATTCGGTTTGGTTAATATGTTCGAAAAAAAGTTAGGTTTGGTTAACGATTAAAGAAAAAAAAAGTTTAGTTAATTCGGTTCGGTTCGATTCGGTTTTAACCGAATGAACAGCCCTAGTTTTTGTTCCTAAACTCTCAATTTCTTTTTAAAATAATTTGAACATGAGTATTAAAATGAAACAAAAACTAAACTTTAAGTATGATTTTTAAAATAATAAAAATTTAGGTATTAAAACGGATCAAAACTTATAGTTTAGGTAATAAACGAATAATTCATCTCAATATTTATATGTGATTCGTTTAATAGGTTTTTATGATTTTTTGTCTCTAATTAAAATCTTTCCACTTCAACTATGGTACAATCAACAAAAACATAAATAGTTAATAGTTAAATTTAACGGTCAATTATTAAAATAAAATAAAAATGCAACACTAAGTTTGATTTTGAAGTTAAAAATTAAATAACTAAAATAGAAACACAATAACATGAGGCATCAAATAGACCAATTAAATTAGCTGACTCTATTCCCGTATGTAATGGGATAAAGGAAAGGTAGGGTAGTAGGCTGCCCCCAACGCCAGATTGAGAGCAACTTCCGTGAAAGACCTCCGTTATGAATTGCCCTCAATAGGACTCGGTCGTACGACCACAAGATTAATTATGCAATAAGTTATTGTATTTTTTAAAACCTTCGATGTTTGGGCCCATTAATGTTTAGTATTGGTTCAGTCTCTACAACCGTATCCATTGCTTACCCAAGTTACGTATTTTGGTAGGAATGGTATTCGATGATAACAAATCAAGGGATAAAGCTAATATATAATCATTAAATTATGTTAGATTTTTTTATATAATAAGTATTATATCGTTAATTATTATTAAAAATAATATGATATACTAAAAATAAATTTTATATTAATTTATCATTACTTATTGTTAAACAAATGACATAATATCATTACTAATAGGGTTGTTCATTCAGTAGCCGACCGAAGTAAATTACCATTAACATAATTTTTTTCTTTAACCGTTAATCGAACCGAGTTTTTTTTCGAAAATATTAACCGAACCAAATAAATTTCGGTTAATTTTTGAATTAATCAAAATTTTTTAAAATTTTCTAATTTATATAAAAATTAAATATTTTTAATTCAAAAAAACACTTTATAATTAATTTAAATAATATATAATTATAAAATAAAACTTTTATATAATTTTTTTAATTAATATTGATTTAGGTTTAAAAGTTATTTGATCTTAAATTATTAATTGAGTTTTAAATGGTTTGGGCTGAGCCCATATGTTATATATAATATATTTAATATTTTTTAATTAAAAAACAGTTTATAATTAATTTAAATAATATATAATTATAAAATTAAACTTTTATATAAACTTTTTAATTAATTAATATTGATTTGGTTTAAAAGTTATTAGATCTTAAATTATTAATTGGGTTTTAAATAATTTAGGGTGAGCCCATATGTTATTCGGTTAATTAACCGATTTCGAACGGAATTAACCGTTAACCGAATTCTAAAAATTTTCTTAACCGTTAACCGACAGAATTAATTCGGTGGTCGACCGAATTAACCGAATTAATTCGGTTCGGTCGGTTAACTGAATTAGTTCGAAAATTTGAACACCCCTAATTACTAATCTTGGGTATAATCTAACCTTAAATTGGAGGAACTATATCTAACTTAATTTTTTTTATATAAAAAAAGAATGACATGATATATTAAAATAATAAATTTTATTGTTTACGCTATCGTAATGTATCTATTCTATAATAAAATAACAAAATTTAATGATTAATATTTTCTTTTTGTTACCACAACAAACACGTTCGTGTCCCCTTCAAAGTTTTAATGAAACATGTAGTGATTTTAAAGCATATATTTTATTTAATCTTATAACTATACGTGAACAAGTGGCAGTGATTTGTCCCTTTGCGTGGCCAAGAGGTTCAAGCACTGGATAGAACCGGCACGAGTAATAAAAATGATGAAAGGGGACAAGGGGTTGAGGGCCCACAACACTTCAAGCAGCCAATGGATTTAGATTAGGGGCGATCATTTTATAGAATAGAGTTAAAAAATTTCGAATTATTCGAGTAGACAAGTATTATTTTATAATTCAAGGTTGATTTGAAATTTTTTCGAGTTGAATCAAATTTTTGAGTTTATGTTTAAATTTAATTGTAAATATACATAATATTATAATATTATTTGATTCAAATTTAAATGATTTTTCATAACCATATACAATACATATATATATTTATTCATATTTTTTTCATATGTGATATACATAAATAGTCAAGGGTCTCAACTCAAACTTGAAAATCAATCTACTAATTACTAAAAATTTTGAGTTATTCGATTTGTATTTTACAGCTTGATTTAAACTTGAAATTTTTTTGAGTCGAGTTTATGAAATTACAACTCGAAGTTAATTTGAGTCTAGTTGAATCGGTTTTTCGAATCGAATCGAGTGTTACTCACCCCTAATTTAGATCACTCGTACTCAAATCTGAATAAAACGAATGCAATTTGTTTGCATCTATCTGTACGAAGTCTTGCATAAGAAACGAGAAGAATAGTCGAGAATTACTTACAGGTGAAACAAGAAGAATAATGTTGCTGCAAGCACCGAGCACCCGAAGGAACATTGGCACTGCGGCACGACAAAGATGAGAGACACCGGGCATATTACCCCCCACCCCCCAAAAAAAAAGAAAGATCATCATAACGCGGTCATGAAGAAACATGAAAATAAGCAAGCATAAAATCAAAGGAGATTAAAAAAAGGAGTAACGTCACCATGCATGTCAGAAACATATATTGAATGAGGCTTGTCGAAGTTAGCGAGTTCCGAGAGCTCTGTGCTAAGTACTTCCAATTTTAATCAAAGTGATGTCACAATGACGGTTCTCATAAATTGATTATTCTCATATAGGACATAGATGGTACGTTAAATTTTGCTAATGCTTCATGATCCCAGCAGAAAGAATACTCAACATACAAGCAACTGATACCTGAGATGTAGGGTCCTGGTTACCCTGCAATTTCTACGATAGTACTTTATTGTGACCGTAATGCATCTGCAACACCTTCACCCAAGTTACTAAACAAATATGGGCACAATAGATGTCATGTTCCAAATTAGA